CAACCCTAAATTATGCCTATGTCCCAATTCAAGTATACTCTTGAATTGCATCTGGCCTAACTCCAACACACCATGCTTTTCGTCGATCATTTGTTCAATATTGTTCTTTTAGTTCTTAGTTGCTACAGATGATGTCACTTGATGGACACTGATTCATTCAGCAATGCTTGTACCCACAGGAAAGTCCCAAAAACAGTCTAGACTTTTGCCTGGAAAGATCAGCCTGACCTATGCCAAAATATGACTAAACTGCTGCAGCTGACTTCCCATTACAGAAGATATTAAAATGTTTCATATACCTTTAAGAAAATGATTCTTTATATTGCTATTCCCCTTTAAATATTACTACAGCAGATTCCAGAGAGAGCTACTTACTTATTTACCTGCTGAAAGGGCGAACCGTTAGCCACTACTACTGCTACTACAATGGCCCTAACAGCAGCCTGTTCTCTTCCTATTTCCAGGCAAATCTTCCCTACCCATTTTCCCTGTGGAGTTCCGATAGACAAGAAAATTGTGTGCGTGTGTTTATGCATGCACACACGCAGGAAGGAGGGGTGGGGGTTAATAAGAATGCTTGAAGTTTTTATTATCTTCTGCTAGATCCCTGATTGAATAGTTTATAGAATTTCTCTTCTCCCAATTTCATTCCCAAGTTTTATGGACATCCTACCAACAGTACTTCTCCTGGAATTTAGCATTACAGCATTTACGTGAAGCTTCCTACAGTCTACATGTCCATCGCTATGCTTACAATTAGCCACCCTTTCTTATGAAGACAGGAAATGCTGCAGCTTCCCCATGCCCAAGTGTGACCAGACAGCCATCACTGCCCAAAAACTGAAGAGTACCACCTGGGCTGAAAAGGAAGCACATTCCTAAAAGCTGTGCATGGAGCCTAGAAAAGTGGCAGCGTGCCATTACAGCATCCCCTCCCTTGAACTGGATCAAGAAGAGTTTTGTTTTTGATGTTTATAGGGGTCATGTGGACATGCCTGAGGGCAGTACCCCAAATTGGTTCAGAGAGAATTCCTATCTACACTTCCTCTTCCCTCCACTTCTGCTCTCAGTTGCCTATCTACCAAGTAAGACAGATACTAAAAATCAGATACCTAGTTTTGGGGTTTTTTTAAATAAGTAGCCCAGCTTAAACATAATCACATGGATAGATGCCCAGTCTCGACACAGCATATCTATTTTTTTAACATATGCTTATTCCCCTAGGAATCTGTGGATTACAGTCCATCTTCCTAAACAGCTCAATTAACGATCTGCTCAATGAGACCACCCATTTTCTCAAAAAGCTGAGGTCCAAACCCCCTGCGGGCTGTATGCCATGAAGCATAGACCACCTTGACCCTCTCCTCATCATAGGTGCCACCCCACAGCACTCCCACCCTGCATGGGAGCCCAGGCTCCACAACTGCCCCCAGGCCAGAGTTTCTGGTTGTGCTGCCTTGCCTTGCCCAATGGATAAGGGCAGGAAGCAGAGGTTCGAGGACGGATGTTGAGCCCAGAGATGCAAGCGGCAACAAGAGCTATTGAGGAGACACTGGAAGGTCTGGTTGGGGCACCCTGCACTAGACAGCCTCTCTGCAACATGTTGAGCCATGCTGGAGAAGTTCCAGCCTTGCAGGCTGACGCCCTGGCCCCTGCCAGCTAGAACGGCTCCAACCTGGCTCAATGTGCTGCAGTCCCAGGTGCATGTGTAAAGACAGCGCCCAGGAGCAATAAAGTCCAGCGCAATACGCACTGGAGTTTATTGGGTCGCATTAACACATACATGTAGATGCATCCCTTGTTTCCTTTGTCGCCATAATAAACTCTGAAGTAGCTGGGATACCAGGAGGGAACATGGAGTTTAAAATATATGTGAACATCATCCCTAAAAACTACAGTTTTGTAACAGAATTTTTTCCCTTTTTTTTCCCCCCTCACATTTGAGTGCTTGTTTACTCTAGAAAAGAGAAGGCTAAGTGGGAACATGATGGCTAATGCAGTGAAAAACTAATTCCCTTCCAAGTGACAAATGAAGAAATTCTTTGCTCCCGGGGACCAACCTGGGAGATCCCTGGAGGATAGACAATTCTCACAAGCTGATGAGTGAAGAGGAAGTAGAGCAGGAAGACTAAAGCCTGGAGTGCTTCCAGTAAACTGTGAATGGAGGGTGCGGCAAACTAAAGCAAACATCAAGCGGAATAAGGGCAAAGAAGTTAAGGTTTATTAAACTAACCCAGATTTTTCTGTTGGATAAGAATGATATTAATGCAATACATCAGATTAAAGGAAAATTAAAACTGAGATTGTATTTACAAGTTTCCCATGGTCAGCTATTAATCAAAGTATATCAAACACTGCATTATAAAACCTAACCATTTACTGTAACGTATGGTGCATTTCATACTTCTATATTTGTAAAATGTTTATTTTTCATAATTATATTTTCCACAACAATTTATTATAATCTACACACACAGGATTGACTATGCAAAGTCCTTCAATTAATGCTTTGAGTTAGTGAAATACTTAAGCGTATACCTAACTTTAAGCATGCTAGTCTGTAGGCACATCTACACAAGATGTTTTACTGCACAGTACTGTAGTTTACTGTGCAGTAAGCATGCATGTCTAAATGTGCACATACTTACTGTGCAGTAAAAAATTGCTACTTGTGAGTAAATTTGCTACCTGCCAATGCAAGCAGCAAATATACTCACAAGTACTTAACTGCGCGGTAAAGCTTGTGTAGACACCATCCAGGAGCAGATTTGCTCCCAGTCATCCCTGCCACTAGGGGGCCAGCCTGAACTCAGCCCCAGGAAACCAAGGCTGGAAACCTCTCCTGCCCCAGGACTGGGCAACCTCTGTAGCAGCTCCAGCCACGGCCCCTTTAAAAGCCTGCAGGCATTTTGAGCTCTTGGGTACAACAGCAGGGAATCTGAACGGAAAATCTTGGCCTCTGCTGCCCTTCAACAGGCTGCAGTCTACCTGTGCCAGCCTGCCTGCACCCCAGCGCCGCTGCCAGGCATGACAGTGCCACATGGCTGCCAGGCCTGCGCCATCCTGCCTGCTGCAGGCTCCTGCCAGGCCTGCCAGCTCCCAGCTACCAAGGCCAATGCTAGCTGCCCACAGCAGCCTACCTGGAACCTGCAGGTGCTGTGGGGCATCGCCTTGCCACACAGTTCCCAGCCCCATATCATGCTCCTGTGTTGGATGCTGCAGGCAGCTGCCCAGCTCCAGCAGCACAGGGACAGTTGGACGGAATCCTGGAGAGTTGGCATGGGAGTCCCGATGGCCTCATCACCAACACCATTCACTGCTGCCACCCAGGTCCCTAATTGGTCCACAGAGAAAACTGGTGACCTCATGGTGTGGCGCTGTGGCATGGAAGAGGCTGAAGTGCAGTGGCAGTTCACACGAGGCAGGTGCTTCAACCCACATCTATGAGGGGCTGTCAAGCCACATGTGGGAGCATGGGCATGACCAGTTGGCACAGCAGTGCTGCATAAAGGTCAAGGCCTTCTGGGCACAGTGGGTCACCATCATCAACCACAACCATCAGTTGGGGAGTGCCCACAAGTCCATGCCCTTTATGAGGAAGTTGACCAAGATCCTTGCACTCCAGGACACAAGCCACAGCCACACTGTATACAACAGCATGGGCAGCCTGCCAGAGCCCCCACTCCAGCCTGGCACCCACAGTGACATGTCACTGGGGGAGGGCCCCTTGGGGTGCCAGCAGCCCATCCCATGAAACTCCCCATCCCCAGCCTCCACCAGCAGCTTGGGAGCCCAGGCCAGTGTCTGCCCTGACAGCTCCATAGCCTGAGCCCCAGGAACAAGACACGACCAGCCAGGTCACCTCCAACTGGCAGCAGCGCTAGCTCCTCCCCAGAAGGGGTCCCTGACCAGGCACCTGCACACCATGCCCCACCATCCAAGGACACCACTGGGAGCTGCACATCATCACCGCCATGATGTGTACACTGCTCCTGGCCAGAAACGCAGCTGGCCAAGGACTAGGGAATAGGGCTACCTTTTAAAGATAGCCTCCAGCTGCAGGCAGCTGCGGCCAGAGCCTCTAACTTCCCCCTGGTGACAGCAGGGCACTGTTGCTGGGCCCCAGAAAGGAGGAGCAGTTTGCTGATGGGAACAGCAAATCTTACTCCCACGTCCCTGTACCTGTGGATGTCTGCCCGGGAGCATTTATTTGCTAGTAGTTTACTCACAAGTGAACTAGTCCCGCATCAAATGCTCATGTAGACGCACCCTGTTAGTTTTAAAATACTTTGTTAAAATTATGGACAGGTGACCAGGCTTTTACCACTGGGATAGAAAAGAGCCTTTTCTTGGTCATTTACATTTCATTCATAAAGTGGAAGAGTTAAAAAAGGGTCAAAATAAGGAAGGAGAATCAATGAGAGATACTACAGTAGAGATAGAGAAAAAGCAATAGGAAGTGAATACTTGCTATTAGTACAAGTATTCTACCTTAATTGTGTTTTCTGTACTAATGGGATCTTAAATCAATGCTAATTTTGCACAATTACAGTTAAAAGATTCAATGATGTACTTATGCTTGAAGGAAGAAACATACAATTTTACAGACATTATTGAGAGTGAAATTCCCTTTTGATATTAATTTATCATTTACTATGAAACCAACAGATAATATGGTTCATAATACTTATGTTTTTCATTATGTATCATTAGGCACAAATGTTTTGTCACAAAATCCAATAATTATCACCACATCTGTATTTGGCAGCTTGCTAATAGTAAAAATTGAACAAATATGAACTACGTATAAATACTGGCATCAGAAGACTACGGCAAAACAACAAACATGTGATCTGATATAATCTGGAATAGGTACATAGAAATTAATCTCAAATTTTCAGAAAAAATCAGAAGAGGTGAATTACTTCCCTTAAACGTACAGTGAAGGAGTAGAAATAAAAAAAAATTTTTTCCCCATTTTGAAAAGCCAAAATTCTTACCTGATGATATGCTTGATAGATTATATCAAATAAGAAAGCCTGAGGCATTTCACTTGCTCTATACCTGGCACGTTCTAGTGAATGGTCTAAACAACCGTCTGCAGAGGAAGCAACAACAGTCGAGACAAGAGGACGGATTGCTCCTGCTGCCTAGGGAACAGAACAAAAAGTCTTCAATATATACTTGAATGTTTAACTTAACTAATTTCTGCTGAAACTGCAAGCCAAAACAAATGTGAAATATTAACCTCTTTACATATGCTCTGGGGCTTAGAGCCGCCAGGTGTTAAGCACCTTCTGACACATATTGAATGTCCTTAATTCCCAGTAACTTGAGAGAAAGTTGAAGGAACACACTACTTACAGCCTTCTCCCCCTCCCCTCCCCCCGCATAATCAAGCACCATTATTCTGTATTGACACTTCTCCTACTGCTATGTAGCCAATCCTGAGCTATGTGGCCACATTAAAATGTGATATTAAAGTAGGCATGTCTACACATGCATCTGATTTGAGATCAGTTTACTTACAAGAAAACTACTTGCAAGTAAATACTCCTAGGCAGGCGTTTACACATGCAGGGAAACAGGAGCAGATTTGCTGCTGCTAATGGCAGCAAACTGTTCCCACTTCCTGGGGCCCTGCAATGGGCCCCTGCCGCCACTAGGGGGAGCTCTAGCCCAGGGGCTGGCAGGAAGCAGCAGGCCAGGAGAGAGCTGTCTCTTAACCAGGGCTGGGACATTGCACCCTGCTCTCCGGAGCTCCCTGCTGCCAGGGTGGGGACAATGCCCCCCTGCCCTGGCAGCAGGGAGCTCCTAGCCCTGGCTCCTCAATCAGGGGCATGGGGCTTAGAAAGAGCTGTAGGGGAGGGGCAGGTCCCAATCCCTTGCTCCCATGCATCAGTGGAGCAGCTAGCCCACTGCTAGCTGCCCCACTGGCAGATCAGGACAGGAGACTGGGACCTACCCCATCCCTACAGCTCTTCCCAAGCCCCATTCCTAGATTACCTGCCAGGGCATGGGGCTGCAACCTGCCCCTGACCAGGACAGTTCCCAGCCCTGTATATGGGGCCAAGGCTGGGGAGCTTGTTCCCTACTCAGCTCCACAAGCATGGAGCTGGGCGAGGAACCACCAGGGAAACTGAACAGGGAACAAGCTCCCCAGACCCCACCAGCAGGAAGCTCCCAGCACCAGCTCCACACCATGGGGCCAGCACTGGGAGACCCTTATCTCCCAGGCTGAGCTTTGCAGTCATGGGGCTCAAGCTGGGAGACCCTTATCTCCCAGCGCCAGCTCCATGACCACAGGGCCCACATCGAGGGATAAGTATCTCCCAGCCCCCACTCCCTGATCATGATCTCAGAGCAAGGGGCTTAGAGCTCCCTGGTACTGGGGCAGATGTACATAGTCCCTGCCTAGCCTCCAATGGCAGAGCGCACCCTGGCAGCAGGCAGCTCCCAGGAGGTTTTGCTCCTGGTCAGTCATCTACATGACCACTGCTGTCCTGTTACTAATTGAAAGTAAAATTTGCTACTTGCATTTGCAGGTAGCAAATTTGCTTGCAATTAGCAAGGTTTGCTGTGTAGTAAGCATGTGCACATGTAAACACACATACTTACTTCACAGTAAACTACGCTACTGCACAGTTAACATCTTGTGTAGATGTACCCAGTGGGAATCAAGATGCTCAAAACCTCAGGATGAGTCCCAGACAGTGAGCCAGTGTTCTAGCTATTTTATAGCTGTTTTAAAGAGATCAACATATCTCTTCACAAAAACTTCCTAACTTATATTTAAGGAACAAATATTCAAATCCAGAAAAAGAATGGTCTTTTTTAAAAAATGAGGTCCTATGTGTTTATATTTATGCAGCCTCTATTTAAGTGCAAGTTCCAACACAGACTACATACTCTAATTTACACAAAGTATACTCAATTAAAAGGCATTTTTTAAATGTGTAAAATGTAAATTGCCAATTGCAAATCTCTTTAAATGTCTTTATGTGAATAGGCTTTTTTTTTAGGTTCCTATTCCAAAACAATTTTTTTTTTAACCCTTTGGGCATGTCTACACATGCATTTAGGCATGCCTAATTTTAATGCACATTAAAGGTGATTTAGGCTCATGTCTACATGCGCACGCATTAAAGTGCATTAACGCTGTGTGTGTGTGGACTGACATGGGACTAAAATTACTCCCAAGTCAATCCACACACAGCATTAATGCGCCTTAACGTGTCTATACACACCTTAATGCACTTTAGCTGTTCGTGCCTACATTCGATACCTGCTTTTGCACAAGTAACATAAAATTGCCATTTATAAGGCACATTAAAATAAGTTGGCCTCATACTTTACCTTACTTTAACTGTTGCCTTTGATATGGAAACCTTGGAATAGCATTTGCTGTTGCAAAATAGGGCCATAAATTGTCATAATCAGTGTACCTAGAAAACCTCTTCTGGAACCACCATATATCCAGCAGCAAAAGTCTCTTTAAGAACAGAACTGCTACAGCTCTGTAGGGAATGAGTTTCCATTGCCAATTCTTTCCTTGGACTTATGACTATTTAGAAACTCAAATGGGCATTGTGACAGGAGAACTGTTCAGGGTCAGAGTTCAACGTTGGCCCACCCCTGTATTTAGGCCAGTCTGACCTATCTCGCCTGCCATAATTTACTGTTTAATAAGTTTGATGTAAATATGCAGGAGGCTGCCCATTTAATGCCCCGATGCCTGGGCCATT